TCTATCATTTCTGACAGAGACTGAACAAAAAACTGTACCAGAATTGCCTACTCTGGGGAGGTGCTGGGCAACTTGCGAGCGTGGTACCATGTGACCACTGAGGTAGAGATCAACTTGATGGAGTTCCATGAACACACTGGGCAGGAGAGTCAGTCCTGCCCTGTGGAGAAGTGAGTGGCTCCTAGAAGGGGAAAAAGGGGTGCACCTCCAGCCATAGGATAGAGACCCTGCCAGAACCTTGGTGGAACCAAGTGCCAAGTGTTTCATGCCGTGACTGATGACCGCTCCCCTGCCTCTGAGCCAACTGAAGAAGAAAAAAACTCCCCCAAGGCCAAGGGAGAAAACTCAAGCAGGGCAACAGGTCATAGAGTTCTCCCCTCCATTCAGTGAGGGGGCAGGAATTTCAACCTCTGCCAAGACTTGGCCATTCTTCTACAAGAGCGACGGTGAGGAAGAAGATGACCCGATGGTAAGTAGCCCCATCATCTGACAGCTAAGGTGGATATTTCAGTGTCCTCCTCAGGAATAAAGGGGATCCTTACAGCTTTATTGGACTTAGGGTTCACCAGATGCCTAGTCAGCCCCCAAATGGTAGAGAAGCTAGGGATGAGGCTTAAGGAAGCTAAAGAAGCCTATAGCATTTTCCCAGCTATACAATTTGATAATGGGCAGAGTGCCAGCGAGCTAACTGAACCTGTGAAACTGAAAGCCAGGATCCACACAGAGGTTATTCAATTTATTGTGGCCCCTGAGATGACATAGGCCATGGTCCTAGACCTGGCATGACAGATAAAATGGAGCCCATTTGTTCATTGGGATAGAAACAAGTGGCGAATGCAGAGGAAAATATCCAACCAGCAAGAGTTAGTGTAAGTGCTAAGAAGCTGTCATGTGCCTGCGGTTAAGAAAGCAAAAATGGAAACTAGAAGAAGATTGCTTAGAGCCGTGGATTCCAAAAGAATATCATGATCTAGCCAGTCTTTAGCAAGAAGGAGTCCGCCCCACCGCCCCACAGATTATGCAATTGAGATCGTGCCTGGACATGTTGGGAAACCTTGTAAAGGGGAGGATCTTCACTAATGTGGACTTAAGGGAGGCATACTATTGAGTGAGAACTAAGGAAGGGGATGAGTGGAAAACTACAATTAACTGCCTCCTGGGCTGTTACCAGTTCTGAGTGATGCTGTTTGGACTACAGGGGCCCCGAACAATGTTCATTCCGCTGATAAATGACGTACTGCATGAGCACCTGTATAAAGAGTCCTAATGTATCTGAAACAATGAGAGACTAGTGATATGGCTGTGGGGGCTGTGCTGCTCCAGAAGAAAGCCAAAGGAGAATTGTAGCCGTGTGCCTACACGTCCCGTAAGTTTTCGGAAAATGAGAGACGATGACCTATCTGGGAAAAGGAAACCTACATAGTCTGCTGGGCTCTCCTAACCTGGAGACAATTCTTGGAAGGCAGTAGGATTTCTTTCAAGGTGTGAACAGACCACAAGAACTTAGAAGCATTCAGGGCTCTCCAAAATAGGTCCCATGGGCCCAATATTTCAACCGCTTCAACTTCACTCTCCGCTATCCACCGGGAGGGTGAAATTTCTTGGTAGATGCCCTCTCACAAATGCCACAGTACAACAGTACATCAGAGGAGGTCATCAATTCCATCATTCCTTGCAAACAAGTAGCAGCACCAGTCCTCACAAGAGAACAGGAAGCATCACCATCACTGCTGACCAAAGACCTAAAAGAAGCCTTGGCAGGGGAAGAGTGGTTCCAACAACAGAAAGGTGAGCTGTCCTTAATGGACGGACTGGCATGGATGGGGAGCAAACTATACATCCCATTGAGCCAGAGGATCTTAATACAAGTAATCCCCCAGAGGATTATTTAGCAAATTTTCACAAAAATAAATTAATTCAGAAAGGGTACTTACGTTAGAAATTCAAAACTGCAAGCAAAAAGAGGTCTGTGTAGCCATGTGACTTGAATTCAGTCCGTGCTGCAGCCGAAGCCATTTTGAACTCTGTGATTTGCCTGGGCCATTCGGCTTATGAAGCAGGCAGGGCTTTTTTTTTGTCTCTGGTCACATGGCCAAACGAGCCGAGCTGAAATGGCACCTAGTTTTTTTTTTTGTTAGTGCTGGAGGAGAATCTGCTGCTTCAGGACTAGAACTGCTTCTGTAAGTATTTTAATTTTTTTTGTTGTTGTTACTCTAGAATGCTTGTAAACTGTTTGGAAACTGCTTTTCTTTTTAAGTACTTACTATTTGTTTCTAAGTACAATACTTGTAGAAATGCTAGCCAACCTCCTCACAAGGCATTCTGTAATGTTGTATTTCCTTGCTTTTATTTTGGAGATTAGCATATATTATTGTAGTTTGTAGGTTTTAAATTTAAATTGCCTCCAGAAGTTGTGGGTGTCCCATTACTGAAAGCTTTTAAGAAGAGACTGGATAGGCATTTATCCGAAATACACTACTCTCTTGTGAGAGCAGTGGGTTAGACTAGATGATCTCAAGGTCCCTTCCATCTCTGTTACTGTTGCAAACCAACAGTTCTGTAAACCCCTCCCCTATCTCACTGAGTGCCTGGCTAGAGACTTAAGCTAATTAATGGCAACTGCAAAATTCTTTGCAAAAAGAGATGCAGCCTGCTTACAGGCATTTAGTTCCTGAGTGGAAGCAAATAGCTGATGGGCAGTGACAGCAGCGGGAAGGCCTCTCAGTTCAGGCAGAGATCAGTGAACAAAGTTGAAGAAATAGTAAGTCAGATCTTTGTTCATTTAACAATCCATTTGATTTAATTAATTAATTTGATTTTAAACATTTGTAAAATTGAATCTGATTCATTTGATGAATCAGGCTCCATTAGGTTCGTACTTCGAGGACTACCTGTACTGCAATGGAGCCATGATGCAAAGGCAGCAAGGCATTTTGGATTTGTAAAAACCTTTCATCTTGTAAAGAGAGAGATTTGGTGGCCATGGATGAAGAGATGTAGAAGCCTACATAGCCAGCTGCCCTGTATGTTCTTTGGTAAAGAGGCTGTCCAGCAAGCCTCCAGGACTGTTACAGATGGTGGCCAAGCCCACGGTCCTTTGGAGCGAGATATCTATGGACTTTATTGGGGATCTGTTGGAGAGTTCTTGGAATACTGTGATCTGGGTCATTACAGACTTATTCTCTAAGCAAGCACACTTTGTAGTGTGCCCAAGTATCCCTTCTGCTCAGTTCCTAGCTAGATTGTTCATACAGTATTTGTACAGCATTCTGAAACACATAATCTTAGATCGCGGAGTGCAATTCACATAAACGTTTTGGTGTGAGTTCCTGAGCTTTTAGACTCCTTCCAGGGACTTGGCTCCACCCATCACCCTCAAATAAATGGAGTCTGTGGATACAAGAATGCAGTCATGGAGCAATACCTTTGATGCTGTGTGAACTACCAGCAAGATAATTAGGCTGAACCTCTGCCCTTCACTGAGGTGGCATACAATAACTATGTACTTAGCAGCACCAGGTTTACCCCCTTTCAGGTGACCATCAATGTGGAATTTGTGCCTATGCCAGAGCTCCCTAAGGAGACCCCTTCATTGACTTCATTGCCTGAGTGGTGCACAAATTAGAAGCAGCAAGGGAAGTGCAGAAGAGAGAGGCTGACAAGAAGAGAGCACCTCAGAAAGAGTTTAGAATAGGGGATGAGGTGTACCTGTCCATGAAGTTCTTGTAGTTGGAGCAGCCCTGCAAGAAGTTGAAGCATCAGTATATAGGTTCTTTCCCTATCATCCGGATTATGAATCTGGTAATGGTGAAATTGAAATTGCCCAAAAAAACCCTCAGGCACATTCACCTAGTGTTTCACTGTAATTTGTTAAAGCTCTTCCGTAGCTCACCGCTGATGCCGACCATTGAGCCTCCCCCTCCTATAGGGGAAGGAGAGAGACATTTTGAGCAAGGAGATTCTTGACTCTTGATGTTACAAAGGGAAGTTGTAATATTTAGTCTTATTGAAGGGGTTTCCCTTGGCAGAGGCAGAATGGGTGACAGCAACGAATGTCCATGCCTCTAGACTCATGCAGAGGTTCCATGTTAGGTACCTGGACCTCCCCCAATAGGTTAAATAGTGCAAAGAAATCATGGTGTAATACGAATGTTTTTTGCTTCCTTGTAGGATTAATCATCTTTTGGGAGGGTCAGCATGTCATGGTTGACTCCCTATGCAGCCCCACTTGCAATCAGACAACAGTAATGGGATGGGGGAGGACAGGCATTGGAATGTAAGGGAAGATTGGGAGGGAAATTTGGAATGCAAGGGTGCTGACTGGAAGCCTGAGATAGATCCAACATCTCAGGGTCACCGGCTGGGAACATCTGAGACAGACAGATCATTCCCAAAACAAAGCGAGTGCAAATGATTGGTGGAGAATGGACAATGGGATGTCCAGGGGGGAAAGGGAATGTTTTCCTATGCTGTTTGAGCATGAAATCGTTAGAATTGGCTTTTCTACTTCTGTACCCATATGGAATCTTCAGTAAAGTTATATTCTTGGTAAAAAAAAAATGTCCCAGGAGTTTCTTTTGATATCTAACCCAGTGGGACAGTTGACACACAGGATTCTTCTTCGTTGAACAAAGCATGCAAAAATGCCTTTCCTATACTTTGGTTTCAGCATGACAATCCATACTTATTTCTTCACCTTTTAGACAGTTCATTATCAATGTCAAAACATTTGATAAGTTGGATCAATTTCTTTTGTGTTTCTCTTTCAGCATTTTTCTTTTTTCCTTTTTTCCAAAATTAATCTTTCGCATCAAATAACATAGAATGGTCAGTAAAGTTGGATAGTTAGTAATACTGTATTCCTTGTAGAGTTGTTAATCTATTTATGTTGGTAAAGTTTTCTTAAGTAGGGAATACTTATATTAAAGCAAACTTTTCAATAAAACCTTTATGGTAGATATCACTTTACTAATAATCTGATTGTGTTAAATTCTGTATAGCAGAAACCCTGCCAAATGAAGAAACATCCAAAGAGCACAGGTTTGCTGAGAATTCAATGGATTCTGCACTTAATTCAGTCACCCTGTCAAGTCCTAACAATCAGAATTCCACTGAATATTATACCTCAGGGAACACAGCCTATTTTAGGCATTCTCTTCCTTCAGTATCTGCTACCTCAAACACAGAACCAAATCTACATAAATTATCAAGTGCTACCGGGAACAGAAGTTTTTGTGAAGTTGCCAGAAAGAGATTGCAACAGAGGATTGAAGGTATTCTCAAGCTTTTTCAAAATCCATGCTTTGTTTGTGTGCACATAAATATGTATATTCATAAAACTGGCTCTAAAATCACTTTATTATTCTAAGTTTACAAAAGGAATCAGCAAATTTAGCAGACATGCCCAAACCATAATCTTCACTTTGTTCTATTGACATCCTTACGTGGGTAGCTAATTTAGCAGAGAGAGAGAGAGAGAAGAAAAAGAAAGGAAAGAGAAAGAAAGAAAGAAAGAAAGAAAGAAAGAAAGAAAGAAAGAAAGAAAGAAAGAAAGAAAGAAAGAAAGAAAGAAAAAGAAAGACTACATAGATTATACTTGTCTGTTTTCTGCTTCTGGATTTCTCTTTGAGGTAATCTCTGTCATAATTGAATCACAACATAAATCAAACCATAATCTATTATTTTTGTCAAAATGAGCAATTTTGCTTTGTTTTATAAGTGTTATTATACACGTTGGTCCTTGAAGGAAAATCCAATACAGAGGAGTTTTAAGAATAAACATGTATGATTAATAACTAACAGAAACAAGCTACTATCATGGCCTTTCTAACTTAGTACAGGTGTGCTAAAATAACAATTTACAGAATGTTTAGTTGGAAGCTGTCATAAATAGGAATTTGGAGAGCCAACATTTGGAAGCCACTAGATTGGGAAAGATTCCTTCCCATATTGTGTGTGTGTGTGTGTGTGTGTGTGTGTGTGTGTGTGTGTGTGTCTAATGTATAGGTCACCACTACATTAACAATAGCAAGATATTTTCAGATTACGCTCATAAAATGGGAAAATAATGTGGAGGTTTTTGCTTTCTATTCACCAATAAAAGCTATTTGAATGTACCCTCAAAATGCCTTGGTTATTTCTCCAGCTTCTTCAGTTTCATCCTTTTGTGTGTTTAAGCTGCAAGTTCTACCACAGGACCTGATCTCAGTGCACTAAAACAGGAATCTTCCCATCTCTTCAGCAAAGACCCTTCGACATGGTCAATTGATGAAGTAATGCGATTTGTACAAGAAGCAGATCCTCAGGCATTAGCACCCCATGCCGAACTCTTCAGGAAACATGTAAGAAAAGTATAATTTATTTTTAATAGTGCCTAGAATCACATGAAATAAAAAAATTCCAATATATTTCTGAAATCTAATGGGCTTTTTTCCTCCAAGAGTATTGAAAGCAGAAAACCATCACTGTAGTTTGCACTAGAAAAGATTTTGTGTCAATGTAAGTTCTGCTTGATACAGAATTATCCTTAAACATAAACTTACTCTTGAGGTCCCATGAATTCTTGCTGTGTTTTGGGGAAACTATTATTAATTACATAAAAATATACAGAGAAAAATCTTAGAACAGGAAAACATAACTTCATATGTGTGAAATGTTCTTCCTGCTCTGTTGACGAATTTGGTAGGATTAAAATGGATTCCAATTAGTTTACCTATTTGTTAGTCTCTGTTTTCTAAACTGATATATGTGAGTAAGGTAACTGGGATAATGTTATGGGGGCAAATAATTTATTAGCACTTCTCTTGATCAGAGATGGGACTGAAAAAAAGAAAACCAGATTGTCAAATTCCAGATGCTGCTTCCCCCATCAGCATTAGAAGTCAGGTATTCTTCACATTAGAAAGGCCAAAAAGGGATATGATGGATGTCGGTTGGGAAGACCTGAGGGTTGGGAGATGTTTCAGGCCACTAATAACTTGACCTTGAAACAATGTTAAATGTTTATCCATCACCAGCATGGAGATGGATTCAGTGTAGCTCTCATAGCTAGTAAAATAAATTGTTTAAACAAAAATGAGAACTGAAAGAACACAGATTCAGGCTTCTGCAGATCCAAAGCAGACAAATTTGCTTTTCATCTGGTATGTACACCTTTGATGTTCCTACTTAAAGGTGTAAATAAATAAATAAAGCATTTATTTATTTAACTTGTATGTTACCTGATTCCCAATAAACTTGGGAACTCACAACAAAGAAATTATAATTAAACAATTATTAACAGTAATTAAATTTAAAGATAAAAGATGACAAGTGGGGTCATCCGGATGGAATGACATGAGGGATCTCATTCTCTCTCCCCAAAGGCTTGAATGAACTTTTTCCTGAGGTCACAAGATCTGGACAAGGTCATAAAGCTCCATGTTCTGCATTGAGAAATGGATAGGGTGTAACCATACCAGATCCAAAGCTTCTTTGCCTAGTTCAAGTCATAATACTGCAGCTCTCTCTATATATAACTGATTAGAAATACATTATAAATTATATATAATTATAAATTGTAAATTTTATAATATAAATTCTGAAGATTTGTCAGTCTCTTCTGAAAATTTCCAAGATGTTCAGATTTGAATTTCTGTTTGTCTCTTGGAAGAGATGAAGTGAGAGAGAGGGTTGTGTTGTGTCAGTCTAGAGTAATATTCTTGCTCTGAAACTAGTCATTAATTACTGTCATCTTGTTTCCTCACAGGAAATTGATGGGAAGGCTCTTCTGTTATTGAGGAGTGATATGATAATGAAGTATATGGGTTTGAAACTGGGCCCAGCATTAAAACTGTGTTATCATATAGAAAGACTTAAGAAAAGAAAGTTCTAGGCAGCAAATGCAGTGATAGTGCTGCATTTTAAATAGACAACCAGTCAGCTTCAAAAAGACAACTATATATAATAGGGCAGAAACTTTGCCTGATCGAATGGATCAAATAATCTCACTCAGCTCACAAATTTCCAGCATGTTGGTTCTACTAATCTAATCAGAAAGAAATATCCTAAATCAGCATTGTTTTATAGATACTTCTTAAATATAGAATTTAATGTTAAAAGTTTCACATTATTGTATTTAATAACTTTTTAAAATATGCAGGGAAGAAGTAGTGCTAAGAGTATTTATATGAAAAACTGAAAAATACATTCTCACTTCTTCAGCTTCAGTTGATGCATTTTCATTCAGAACCAAAACAGCTGAATTCCAAAGGATCTTTATTTTTTATTTTTTAAAAATCAAATGTGGAATTTTTTTGCAAAATGGCTGAATTTCTATGCTGGGATGAGTGAAGTATTATTTTTAATTAATTAATTCTTTTATTATTATAATCACATACATATATTATGTGAAGCATATTTCCATAAAAACAATAGCCATATACTTGTAAGTATATGTTGTGTGCAAAAAAAGCTATCTTTTTACAATTTTAAATTATGAAAATGCATTTTTACAGCATGTTGACAATTTAAGGAGAAAATAATTTCTTTTTTAAGAAGGAACTTCTTATGGCTGATATGAGCATCCAGCTCCCAAGTGAGCAATAACTTTCACTTTGCTCACGACTATATAAGAAACATTGTACTAAAATTCCATCTAATATAAAGATATATTGTACATAGTGTTCAAGTTTTTTTAAGAGTGCGTTTTAAAAGTATTTTTGCACTGTGACAGATGATAAACTGCAGGTTTTTGTTTGTTTTGAATCATAAACAAAATCTGCATTATACATTTTCTCCCTAGTTTATAGGTGTTAATATATCATAAAGCTGTGTCCTAAGACCAGTCACATTTGTTCCAATAAAACATGGGGTCACATAATGTTGAGATTCCCTAATGAGGACCTGGTGAAGTGTGGAAAATAACTGCCTAAACAGATTTCCTTTTGCATTCTAAAATATGATTTTATGTCAGCAGGAAGGAACACAATGAAACACACCATCTTGTGTAGGATCCAGAAGGATTTCAGCCTGTGTAAAGTTTCTAATTAATTGCAAAACTTTACCTTCAGTCACTTTCCACTGCATGTGAATGGCCTTTGCTGGATGAATATATCCTCATACTGTTCATTAATGCCTGTCTGGTTTGTTTCTCATTTTATAGTGGGGGATGGAGAGAAGGGGAAGGGAGGAGAAGAAATAATTAATGGACAGATACATACAGGGCAACTTCTGGCACTATGGAATATTTGGCACTATGAATTCTTATGTGGCGCTGTGCCATTTTATTCTGGGAAAATATATGGAAAAGAATAGGATGCCTCTCTAATGTCTTTCAGATATAAAAAAAGTTAGTGACTTCTTTTAAGAAAGGAATTGAATTACACTTGGATGTATAATTCATCTGAATCTTGGTGCTTTATCTGCAACTTACAAAAAGTTTTGATAATAAAATACTTTGCTGTCACTGCCAATATAATATGAGGGACAATTTATGTACTTTTGCTGAATAGAGGATCAGACATTCTATTTGTCCAAGTGTTGCTAGATAAGATATAGAAAGGAATGTAGTTTTTATATTTTTTACTGACTTTTTATATGAAAAATAGTTAAAATACACATTTGTTGTTTAAAAATGCCTTGTTTATTATATTAGTGTATTAATAATACACTGATTACTCAGGTTTACCTAAAAATGGCAAAATTGCAAATCTTTTTTGAAGCGATGCATTTCTTTAAATTACTGAAGCTGAATTTAAATGAGATCACTTTGGTGATATCCTATTTTCTGATGAACTTCTGGCATTCATATTATACTTTACTTCTCATAAGACTGTACAACATCTCCAATATATAACTTTCTTTAACCATTACAGTTATTTATATATGCTCAGGTATGTGATATCTTTTATATCTTTTGATGCCTATTTCTCTCAGTCAAAGTTACATAAACACACCTATTTATCTCATTGTGAAATGTGATAGCTTGTATTTGGCACATAATTGTGTTTGTAATTTTTAAAGGTGACATATATTACGCCAATGAACTTCCACTGGTACCATTGGAATTTTTCTTGTTCTTCATCTTGCATCTATATGCTTCATAAATTTGTTCTAGAGATTGCAGCAGATTTGAAGGGTGTGTTGGCAATGGGAGAAAAGTCAAATTTGATACTAAATAAGACATTTAGTATAACTTATTTCAGACACTGTTAAAGGATATTTCAAAATTGTATTCAAATACCAAACAATCTTACAAAAATCTAGTTGTTTTCTGGATTGCAGATAAAATGTCACAAATGTTATTCAAGTAATTTTATATGTTAAAAGTGGTTATAAAACAACACAATATTTTAGACCATGAGGTTTCTCTTATTCATTTTGCTAATATGTCTTTGAATAGTGCAAATAATGTATACTACATCATGTATACAAACTTACTTATGAAACAAGAATGCTACTGAAATTTTAACTTTATATATGACATGATACAAATTATGTTAGGTACATTTTTCATTATTTTCAACTGGATGTTCTCATCTAAAGAAAAATAAAAGTTGCTTGATATTTACTTGTCAATTATTTTTGTAATGTAATGTCTTAAATCTGTAACTGACTAATCTCATTACCGTGTTTGGTAGCTACTAATACATCGATTAAAATATACTTTAATATAAAATACATGGTTTGAAGGGATTTAATCTTTGAAACAGTTTACAGAAATAATCTTTGAGTGAAATTCTAAACACTGATGTTAACATACTGTAAATTATCAGATTTCTTTGAAAATAATATGAATATTTCTTGAAATAGAAAGGTTTTACTGATGATTGTAATGGCTATCTAATTAGATAACTCAAATGCTTAGAAAATTCTAAATGCTCTTTTTGCATAATCCACAGAATTTGTTAGAACAGGCAAGAATAAAATCTAGAGAGCAGGCTATTGGTCAATTCCTTATTCCAGAATTAAAATTAAAGATCATCTGAAGACCCCACACAAATGTAGTATGGTGATATACTTTTCATGAAGTATCTGAATTTTTAACATGCTTGTAAGTGTAGGGTTCAGATGATGCAGTGTGGTGGTGAAGGTTTAGTCACGGTTTAGTCAGGATTGTTCTGACAAATATTGGAGGAGAGAATGGTGTCCATACTGCTCAGGTCCCTGAAAGAAAGGCAGAATATAAATCTAAAATAAATTGGAACATTCTAACTGTCCTTTTATTAGTACACATGAAATGACAGGAAGAGAAGATAGTTCAAGTACAAATTATTTGCATACAGAAAGTCCTAGATTCAGTGCTGATGCTTCAAGGAATTTCAAACACTATAAATAGCACTAAATTTGTAAGTCAAGAGTTTCTTGTCTGCTCACAGAACACATGTAACAAAACAAAGGGCATTTGATCCCCCAGAATTTGCTACATTTTGCATGCCCTGCAATACAGAATGGAATGCCAAACAGCTATCCCAATAAAGCAGTACACAAAACAATGCAATGTTGTTGCTGAAGCAGTCTTAATGATGTCTACTACTCTTAAGCCTAAAACTAGGCTAGTTTAGGTTAGATATTTTTTTCTGAGAATAAGAACAATTGCAGAAATCTGAAATGATGTTCAAACAGTAAGGCTTAGGCCTCTTGCAAATGTGGATGGTGCTTTTTGGTGCATAGCAGTAGGTTTTCTAAATTCCCCTGTTGTGCTGATGAACCATATGATTAGCAAAGATGTAATCAGTTGATCATGAAATGAAAACAAGATGGTATCAAAATAGTATCTGCTGTCTCCTTATAGGAACATACTGCATTAGATGTAATCAAAACAGTAGTTCAGCTAGTAGAATTGCAAATGAAGGCAAATATACATTCCCAGGATAATTTTGTAGGATCCAATCTGAGTCGGTCACCAGGACCAGAGGTGTCACCAACACCTATGGTCCCATTGATTGACTCAGATTGGATTCTGCAGAATACTTTTGCTACAAACCAATGAAAAGATCAAAGAAAAATAGTTTATTGGACAATTGGTGTAACACTAGGAGCAATGAGCAGGTATACGGTGATGGGAAAACCAACCTCCTGAACAATTAAGTTCAGTAAGGATTTTGGATTGCTAGGCAGAGAATGAAGATGTTCTTTAGGTGTCTAATTAGAGATCAAAACTAGATAAACTGCTATAGGTTCCAAATGTTAGACACAAACTCTAGTATTATTGTTATAATTCAAACCATCACTAATTTTTCAGATTATGGCAATATCAAAAAAAATTGCTCAGAGTTAGTTTTTGAAAGGTTCTTTATAAGAAAGATTTTATTGCCCAGATGTAAAATGTCCATATAGTTCTGTGCAGTTTCTATGTTCTTTAGTTATGTTTACATCTTAGATTTATCATAGGAATTCTAGTTACTCAGCATTTACCACATACCAAATTATGAAAAGTTGGTACATAAAAAAAGTTTCTAAAGTGACATTATTTCAAACAAAATGAACCACACAGTAGCTTTTCCAGTATGGAAAAGCAAATAGATGTCTGAATTCAAAATCTGTAGATCAATCTATAGCAGTATTAGGAAAATTGCAGCATCAGTTTCTACTAAAAACATGCACATGTATATATAGCGTGTGTGTGTGTGTGTGTGTGTGTGTGTGTTTTTTCTTAGGTTTTCGTGGGTGTTTGTAGTTCTTTGGTTATTCGGGTTTTCTCCCATGTAAAATTGGAAGTGTCTTGGTGACGTTTTCACAAAGTCCCATTCGTCATCTTCAGGCTGGTGTTTTCGGCTTCGTCTTTCTAGGAGCACGAAGCCGAAAACACCAGCCTGAAGATGACAAATGGGACTTCATCAAAACGTCGTCAAGACACTTCCAATTTTACGCGGGAGAAAACCCGAATAACCAAAGACCTATATGTATGTATGTATGTGTGTGTGTGTTGTGTGTATGTATGTATGTATGTATGTATGTATGTGTATGTATGTGTATATATATATGTATATATATGTATGTATATATATGTATATATATATATATATGTGTGTTTTCTGAGGTTTTCGCGGGTGTTTGCCAATCAGAGCACAGCCAAGATCCTAACCAATCAGAATACATCTCCATCCAATCAGAATACAGCCAAGCTCTCATCCAATCAGTTCATACCCCCACTGGCAGTTAAAAGGAGGAAACAGCTACAAACACACATTGCTCCTAGAAGCACGAAGCCGAAGGCACCAGCCTGAAGATGATGAATGAGACTTCGTCGAAACGTCGCCAAGACACTTCCAGTTTTACGTGGGAGAAAACACAAATAACCAAAGACCTGAGCACCAGGAAGAATTCAATACTAGAAAAAATTTAATACCAAGCTTTCGTTGGAAACTACCAACATCATCAGGGTTCACTGTTAGTCAATGTGAGAAACCTATATAGGATTAATCAGTGCTTGCATCCAGCTCCTGGACCTCGTTACTGGTCCCAGCTGATTGGGCTGTATTCTGAAAGTATCCACAGCACCAATATCCACCCTCTTCCTGCTTCCCTTTCTTGCACATGCATCACTGCCCATCCCCTCATCACAAGTTCTTAGGCTAAGCAGAACCTTTCCCCCCCTTTCTCCCAGATTACTGGCCCGCCACAACATGAAGGTGGCCCATAGACCCAGCCAGACATGTTCTAAGATCGTGTGTCCTAAGGACTCACTCCCCAACATGGAGAAATCTGCAATGGTGTATAAAATCGACTGTAAGAACTGCTGCAGTGAAATTTGTGCTACATTTAAAAACTGTACTTCAGAATTAAAATCCAGAGACTCTACTATATTTGCCCAAACTGATGTCCAGGTTACAACTGATTATGGCATAAATAAAAATGTGCCAGAAGAGGAATTTACAGAGATAGAAGTGGAATTTACTTCATCTGACAATCCCTTCTTCAACAACTTAGAGAACCAGAAGAAGCAAAGACTAAGACTTCAAAATACAAAGCAACTACATCGCAAAGAGAACAGAAAAAGACGTTTACTACAGAGGAAGAAATTTATACTCTCTCAAAGATTATTACAAGCAATAAGAATTGATTTATTGGTTGAAAGAGAAAAAAGATGCTTACTACAGAGAAAGGGGACAAACATTTGCTCAAAGATTACTACAAGCATCGAGAATGGATTTACTGGTTGAAAGGGAAGCGTCTTTATGGAAGCTGGTGTGGCATAGAAAGAAACCCAGAATTAGATTCAAAAACAAATTTAAAAATGTTTAATGGAGCAAAAGGCAATGTTGATTTCATGGATTGTTTTAAGGATAATGATTTAGAGCTGAAAATGCAATTATACATATGCGTGTTTAAATTAGTAAAAATTGTTGAATGGATTAAAAGGCAATGTTGGTTCTATGGATTGTTTTAAGGATAATGATTTAGATTTAGAAGTAAGAAATCTACAACTATACTCGTGTGTTTAATTTAGTTTGATGACTTTTTTGCTTTATGGAAGTATGTTTGGTATGGAAATATGAAAGTTAAATGTGAAATGAAAAAAGAAACTTGGCTTTACAGAGACTAAGAATGCATTTCTTGGAGTAAAAGATTGATTTAGACTGGAACTTTGAAATGCTTAATTAATTAGGAGATTTTTGTGCATAATAATATGTTTTGATATGGTAATTAATTGGATGGAATTTTGTTTGTTTAATGAATGGAAATGAAATAAGTCAAATGATCTAGATTTAGAAGTAAGAAAATGATAACTATATATATGTGTAATGTTTAATTAATTAAGAGATATTTGTGTATAATAATACGATTTGATATGATATGATAATATTGTCTTTTTTAACTAAATTAGTTATTATTGGAAGAAATAAATAAGATTGGTGATAAAAAAGGGACGAGAGAGATTAAGAATTTGAATATATTTGCAAGAGATATTTGAAGGGGTAATATATTGATGTAAAACATTTGATTATGGTAATTAAAATTGATAAAGTTTTAATAAACAGGTTTAGTAGTAATAGAAATGTAGGATAGAAATAAAATATATTAAATTTATTATGTTACTTGAGGGAAATAGAGAGATTATAGCGAATGTATTAAATTGAGTTGTTATTGTGTGATTTTATGTTGGAATTTGTGTTTACCCAAACACCTCGGTGTGTCTCAAACACTTTCTGTTAAAACTATAAAACCAATAAAATATATTTTTTAAAAAAAGAACTGCTGCAGTAACTATGTGGGAGAGACTTCCAAAAGATTAAAAACTCGGCTCCATGAGCACAAATTGGCTATAAAAAGGGGTGAACAATATTCTCAAGTTTGGACGCACATGGCTGAATTTGGCCACCAGTTTGATTTTGACAAAGTGCATGTTCTGTCTAGTGATACCACAAAAGGGGCCCGGCTACTTAAAGAAGCATGGCTCTCTGATAAAGAATCAATTAATCGACACATTGACCTTTGTCTAGCGCACCAGACATTGAGGACGTGGAGTATACGTCGTTGTCCAATCCAATGAAGGCAATTAGGTGGGGTGCCGTATAACCGAGAGAATGAGATCACAGTAGGAACAACTATCCCTCGGCAGTCCTCAGATGTTTTGTTGGTGACTGACCGCCAGCTGATGAATTCTCCACCTCCGGAGACAGGTATGCTTCTCCGGAGAACCAGAAGACTACCAGATGGTGAAGGAACAACGCC